CTCGGGGACGGTATCGCTCAGCTCGGACGGGCTCAGCTCCTCGAGTTGCTACAAAAATATATTTGTTCAATTAAGTGTTTCATCCAAGGTATCTTCACTTTATTACAGTCCTTAAACAGTTAAAGCACAAACTGGTCATTGTTCTCAACTTGCTTATTTAGATTTATATTTCACTAAGTCGGACAAATGGTAAATGGACTAACTTTATATAACTCTTTTCCAGCTTTTTTCAACACACCTCAAAAGAGCTTTATATGTGTAACAAGTCTAGCATCTTATCCATTCATACAGAGCAAAGGCTACAAACAAGGCAAGACACACATTCCCATACCGTTTGATCATGGGAGCAACATGTGAATTGAGCATAACTTCCGTAAGCCCCAAAGGTTTTGAGGATGGTTATATATGCCCTAAACTGGTCATTGTTCTCAACTAGGCTTCATCTTCAATTGAAAAACGTTTCACTAAAGTTGGGCAAAAAATGTTAAATGCCAACTTCTTTATTAGACTCCAGAACAAACGCCGGCAAATCCTTGACTTATGCGAATAAACATGACGGCGGTTTTAGTGATTTATGCGGTGAAGAAATTGCGGGAAAGTTGCGAAATATGCTAAATTGCGGTGGAAAAAGAATAACAAATTTTTTATTTAATATTGGGCTGTCCTTATTTTTCTCTCCACACACAAACCTGCCACTAACGTTTAACTTTTACTATTCGCAATTAAACACATTCAATATTTATTTACTTGTAAAGCAATTGGGCTACATTTTAATCTCACACACCCCACCACACACACACAACACACAACCACCCCCCCACACACACACACACACACACACCACACCACACACACACACACACACACCAACACACACACACACACACACACCACACACACACACAACAACACACACACACCTGTCCTCCATCCTCATTCTGTTTTTTTTTTCCCCAAAATTTTTTTAAAATCGTGTCGTTATCTGCAGCTTCCAATCCTTGTAGGCTACTCACTTCGTTTCCTTGTAGCACCTCGAAAGGTGGTTTGGAGTTGATTCCTCGCTGAACGTGAGTTGTTTGGACTTTCTTGTCGCAGCAGCAGAAAGCATTTTCGAATGTCTCAGAATGAATCTAATCAGCTGGGATTCCAGTCGATTTTCCTCTTAATGCTCAGCACACACGTCTGCACGGGGGTGCAAGAATACGTTTCACCCCACCTTTTTTGCCCGGTCTTTAGTAGAAATGTTCGTCGGTAAATGAGATGGATTAGATTTTTTTCATCTTGGTGTTTTTCTTCTATCGTGTGACTCCACACGTTCACTCTATACATCGTGTATGTTTACATTCTGTGATGCGCGAGCTGATGACGTCAGGTCAAGACGAGTTCATTTTTTTTTCTCTCAACTTTGTGGAAAAATGCGGGGATTATCGACCTTTTTGAGTAAATATCGCGGCTTTTAAAAATCTGGCATTTGCTGATTATGCTGGTAAATTCTGTGATCTGCAGAATCGCGTTTTTCTGGGAGGGTCTATGTATATAGACTTGTCCAGTCTTTGCGACCCCCTCCAACAGTCAGCATTAACCCATCATACAGAGTCTAGTTTCACCAAACAAGGCGCACAGCACATTTACATACGTTGCTATTTGGGAGCTACTTGGAATTGAGCATCTTTTGACCATGGTCCATTTGAGCTGATGCAAGAATCCTGCAAGTAAAACGATTGGATCCTTTTTAGAATGTGCTTCGTTATGTCTCTTAATTGTCTCATTTCTGTTTGTTTGTATTCAGTTGAGGACAGCGAGACGACTTCGACGGTCGACACCGGATGACGAGCTTTCGTATGACGGACTCGTCTACAGCTTGCGTCCAACGCTGCCGTATTCCACAGCTTCCTCTCATCAAAGGTGCAGTCTCTCACTTATTACACTCCTCAAGAAACCACCTCAGACTTGTACAGGGCCATAGAGGAAAGACAAGAGAGGAATGATAATTGATTTTATAATGATTGATCATGAAAGTCTCAAGCTGGTAAAGGGTGCAGCTATTTGAATGACTTTGTAATCTGCAGGTAGCTGGTGGATTTACTCCAGGTGGACTAAAAGTCTGATTTAACACTGATTAGATTTCACATCATTTCATCCACATCTGAGAAGTAATAAAGGATATTAAATACATGTATGAGAAAAGTACACATTTACCTCAGAACTGAAGATGGAGTTCTTTTCTATGACACACTTTAAAATCTCTCTGAATATAGTATGTTGACATATAATCATGCAGGACCCTGATCACGTGCCACACTCATGGAAAGATAAACCTATGCATGTTGTTCTGTGCTCTTGCAGAGAAGATCCACATACTCAAACTGTTATGACCTTAAAATTTTATCACAAACTATATACTATATCACTATGATTGTTGACGTTCTTCCGGGTTATTTGGCCTGATTCAGTGTGTTGCCCAGGTCTGGAGAGCTGGAGTGCAAAGAGGACGCTTGGACAACTCAGATTCTTTCTTTTGTCTTTTTGTCTGCTCAGCATGTTATTATAAGTACTCTTCATCAGATGCTCATCAGGCTGAAAACCTTCAAACACAGAGGACATAACCAAAGCTAGCACAAATCACATGCAAACAAAATGCACATGTTGTATGCCTCATTGCATTATTTCTAATAATAATAATTCAGTCACATTCCATTTTCAGGGTATTATAACTCAAATGATAAATTGTCATTAACTTAAATGAATGAATAAGAAAAGTCTCTTTCTCTACTTGAAACCAAGCAACCCAGAAAACCTCACTGAACACCATCTGCGCTGTCTAAACATATACACTAAACAAAACGGAGCGCACACAAACCACGCTGCGTAAAAGCCGTCGATTGCGCAACAGCACTCTCACACAATAAGGCAACAGATCAGGAACGTAATAAACAACGCAGAAACAAACCAACGGCGTCTCTGGAGCCTCACGCACACTGTCGCCAACTTCTCCCTCCGTGGCTTTGGGAACAAGAGACCGGCCATCATAATTCCTGCGCCTTTTGTTGCCGTGTTACCGGAAGCGGTATTAATATGTTTTAATAACGGCTCGCTTCTCATTTAGAAAAGTAGACTACGCTATTCAAAATAAAACAAATGCCCCCTTGGTATTAAACAATACTATCACAATAATAACCTAAACGAAAATACATCGAATAATTATTTATACGTCCGTTTTTCTCAGATATTATTATTTTTCTTTCAAGATTGACTTTCGTCTCGACAGTGATATACAATGAGTTTTTAATGTTCCGTTTTAGGGATCTGAAGACGGCGAATTATCTTTAAATAATGTGATTTCTCCGAGTGCAGGCGGCCTGATCAACACGTGGAAGCGGCGCTGGTGTGTTCTGAAGGACGAGACGTTCCTCTGGTTCAGGGCGAAGCAGGAGGCTCTGAAGCAGGGCTGGCTTCACAAGAAGGGCGGCGGCTCGTCCACGCTGTCCCGCAGGAACTGGAAGAAGCGCTGGTTCGTTCTGAGACAGAGCAAACTCATGTACTTCGAGAACGACGGAGAGGAGAAGATGAAGGGCGTGCTGGACATGCGCGACGCCAAGTAAGTTATTATTTTACTCATTGTGTTATTTTATACTGTGTGTGTTCGCCGTACAGCACTTTGGTCAACTGAGGTGGTTTGTATGAATAAATAAAGATTGAGATTGAAGTAAGGAGTAATATATACTGTAGCTAAGAAAAACAGAAAAAGCTATGACTCACATTTCCATTTTTTATTAGATATTTTACCATGATTTTTTATAACTTGTATGACAAACTAACATTTTACTTTTTTATGATTTTTTTTGATCCACCAGACTATGAGTTTACTTTACTTATGTATGACTTCATGACTTTCTATGCATTGATTTGATATGCCCTATTCTTGCCTAACTATACTATTACTTTTTATCAGTTATCTATGAATTTGTATGAATTATTATACTGCAATCTTTTTAAAGTTGTGACCTATTACACTATGAGTTTTTAGCATTTTTGTTACATATTATACTTAGACCTTTTTAAGATGTTTAATGAGATACTTTACTTTGATTTTTGTATGTATTTATTTTACTATGACACCGAATTATTTTACCTTTTTATTGACTTTTTTTACATTTTCACTTTTTTTATGCCTTATTTATGACATACTATAGTTTGAAGTTTTGATGATTATTATGAAATATTATTCTAGAAGTTACGACTCACAATACCAGGACTTTTCATGACCTATTTATGACTTTTATGAAGAACGATATGACATGATATATAATGACTTTTTGATTTTATTTTATGTGACATACTATACTATGTAGACCCTCCAGAAAAACGCGATTCTGCGATCACAGAATTTACCGCATAATCAGCAAAATGGCGCAGATTTTTAAAAAGCCGCATATTTATCAAAAGGCCGCATATTTATCAAAAGGCCGCATATTTATCAAAAGGCCGCATAATCCCCGCATTTTTCCACAAAGTTGAGAAGAAAAAAAAGTTAACTCGTCTTGACGTGACGTCATCAGCTCGCGCATCACAGAATGTAAACAACACTNCCCCCCCCCTATCGGCCTAGTTCGGGTGGAAAAGTACTTCGGTGTGAAAGCGCCTATTAGCCACGTTCGCACCGGAGTATACTTTTCCCCTTTAGTTCCGTTAGCGGAACTAAAGGGGAAAAGTATACTCCGGTGCGAACGTGGCTAATAGGCGCTTTCACACCGAAGTACTTTTCCACCCGAACTAGGCCGATAGGGGGGGGGGAGATTTGGTTTCACACAAAGGATCTGGAACTAGTCCCTAGTTTGCGCAAACCTTTTCACTTCCAGATAGTCCCTTCTAGCGAGGTAGTACTTTACTGAGGAGGAAATGGTTTGTGGGTGTGTCGGCCACACTAACCATTTCTGATTGGCTGGGCGAATTGCAAACCATGCCCCGTAAAACTCTGAAAGGTTTTGTGATCCCAAAGCAGCAGAAGAAGAAGTGACGTCAGCGAGACTGCCAAGGCACAC